AGCTGATGGTGTCTCTCCGCGGACGAACACTATCGCGTCACGTGATCGATTTAAACCAATAGCAATCGGAGAAAATTTAGTGGTGAACTATAATCTGTCATAGATAGTGAGTAGCGTAGCAGTGTTCCGTTTTTAACAAAATGACAGCCACTTCTTTGCATTTTCGAGGCGTCTGTGAAGTAGATTTAGATAAAGTCTTGAATGACTAGTAGAGTTATACTAAAACAATTAGATTATTCACTCTCGATTTCTATGCGTGATAGAAATCTCGAGCTCATAATCTAATTGTTTAATAGAAACACGATTTTTAACCAATCAGCGCGCGCATTTTCTTAGGACTGTTTTCTGAATATATTAATTTATTATCAAACCCTTGATCAACCAGGTAGCACGTGGAGGTCACAGAAAAGGTATCCTAGCAACGCACACTTGTTGTGCTGGAGGTACTTGGTACGTGGACCTAGCTGAAGAAGAGATGAAAAAGACCTTGGGTAAACGCTAACTCTCGCTTTTTGTTTAACGGTTAACGGGTTTTTACGCATACACGATAACATGCTTCAGTGGGTACAAGTTGTTGCTTGTTCTTTTATTGCATGTAAGCTGAATAAAAACATCGGCTTACTGCTTTTTCTTCCTGTCTACTTAGATGTCGACTTTGAAAAAGACATCGTTCTTTGTGAAGTTCCATTTGGAGGGGTTTTGTTTATCAACAACCTGGTTCCTCATAGAAGGTATGTTTTTTCGTGTGTTTGTTTGTTTGTCTGTTTTTGTTCTTTTTTTTTAATTTATTTATTTCTGTACAGTCTTTTGTTTCTTATGGACTAGAAGAGTCTCCTGATTTCGGCTTTCCTAAGCACCTGTCGACCAGGTGGTTCGTGCGCTGATATGCAGGTACACGAAGTGTTCTAAGTCCCGGCCAAACGATCGCAACATTTCAACGCAATATATCGCAACATTGTTGGACGCAACGTGTTCGGCGCGTTTGGCTTCCCTGTTGCGACGTGTTGCGACATGTTGGGTGTTGTTGGCTCAAATTTGAAAATGGTCAAACTTTTCATGCAACATTTGCGAATGTTGCATGATGTTGTACTCGTTTGGCCAGGTTCGTGCAACAATGTTGCGCCCGGGCATGCGCACTAGTTCGATTTTCAACACCCACCAAATCGCAACACGTACATACGCGTCGCAACAGAGTGGCCAAATGCACGCAACATGTTGCGCACGCATGTTGTGCAATATGTTGTGCAGTATGCACAATATGTTGTGTTAAAATGTTGCGATCGTTTGCAAATGCTGGAGGCTTGCAAATGCTGGACCAACGATGTTGCGATATGTTGTGTTGAAATGTTGCGATCGTTTGGCCGGGGCTCTACCGATTGCTAGTAGAGAGTTTACGCAACCACGTCGGATATGCGGTGTTAAAACCATCCTTGGCTCAATTCCTGTATGTAGGGACATCGTTCAGTTCCAAATGGAAATATTGATATTTGACTGTCGTGGCTTACGTTGTTCTCCAGAAAACGAAATATGTGATATTTTTATCATGTTTCGTTTCTCAGTTTGGAGAACTTTTCGGACAAGATTCGATGGAGCATGGATCTGAGGTGGCAAAGACCGGATAAACCTAACGGGTTTTATGGCTTGAAGGTCAGTACAGACATGATGTTAAATGACAATGCAGTTCCAAAGATCTTAATATTTATAGCGCTGAAAGAAATTGCTTTTCCGTTGCATTTCCTTCGTCAATCCGCCTTTTTAAATATTGTTTTTGTGTTGTTATTCTCTAGGAAAGCATCATACTGCGTACTTCAAAGGACCCGACTTATGCAGTGGACTGGGCTGAATTTGCATCACGTGACAGACATAAATTACAACAATCTCATGAAGACGTGCAATCCAAACTGGATAAGGTAACAACTAATTTAAATACTTCCAGTGTAAACAGATAGTAAGACCCAAGATTCAGGACCATTTCACGAATGAGGAGATATTGAAGAACTTTATGAGTTCAAGTACAAGCTCGATCATCTAAAATACTCCGCTGGACTTTGTATTTTTCAGCATTATGCTCTTCTCCAAGTTTTGGAAAATGGATGAAACGCAGTCTCTCGTGTTTGATATATTACTTTATATTCAATTCAAAAACGTGATCAAGCACTTTACTGAGAATATTCTAACCAGAGACAGCGAAAATGGACTATTTTTCATTTAGTTCGTATCTAGACAAACCGTGTGATCTTCCCAGATTATGGTCTGAGACAACCACTCCTTGGGTTGCATACAACGAACATTTTGACTCATGACCCGGATGTCCTACAACCAGAGTTCGTAAATAATGATAATTGAAACAAAACTATGTGAACCTTTGTGTTCATTGAACCATAATTGTTCTAACTTTGTTAAAAGCGACGAACTTGCTACCAGTTTACGGTGCGGCGAATCGTTTCGTAAATCAAAACTACCACTTTGCTTGCGGTTGTCGCGAACGACTTGAAAGGAGTCGTCAGATATGAAAACATCTTTTAAAACCCTACGACAGAAGTAGTCACACAATGTTAGATGATAAAAGTTGTACAGAACTTCTACAGGAGGCAAGAGCTACAACAGTCGTTTGCGACAAACTTGTTCCGTATCGTGCTAAGTCCTAACATGGAGAACGCTCTCACAAGGTCCTCTTTTTTCTTTTGCTTTTTATTCACGACAGGAGGAAATCGCACTGGACCAAGATCCTGAATTCGACACCACCATAGCGGGTCCATGGATGGGCCAGTGGGAAATAATTCATCACAACAAGCATACAGCCCAGTACAAGGACCCAGGAGATGGAGAAACGTGGACCAATTATCACTCGAAATGGACCAAAGCATAACTTGACCGGAAATGAGCTGAATTAATTGTAGCTACGACGCGTTCATAATTGGCTTACTGCTTGTTATTGTTAAAGAACAGTCTTTCTCAAACTTATAATTCATCAAGTTTGAACAAAGGAAATCGCGACCGTGACGGTGTTTGGGTTTCTGATCTTAATAGACACTGTTAAGGTGGCTGAACACAGTTTTTGATACCTGTGTTTCATTCACCTTTTTCTCTAAAACCCTTGATCCCTCGGTCGTCAAAAATGGCAGCAAGCTAGTTAACAACACAAACGTTGGTTTTTTGATGGTTAAGCTGACGTATTGCCGTTGCCATGGCAACATGAATAAATATAAACAGGCCTTTAAAATTGGTTTTGTTTATTTGCAGAAAATCTAGTCATTAGATTTTCTTTATAATTTGCATGCAACAAGCTTGTAACGATTCTCACAAGTTAACACCATTTTGCTAATAATTTAACAGAGAGATCTTTAATTATCCCTTGTTGAAGGTTCACTGGAATATCTAGAATTTCCTTTGTCAAAGTTCAATTATTTTCAATAGTCCAGTTACTCATTTCCTAAAGTATTTTCCTGCCAAATTTCGTGAAATTCTAATGAGTGGTTCTCGAGAAATAGACGTATTTCCGAGAGTTCAATTTTCATTCAATCACAATTTTTTGACTTACTACGCATGCGCTGCATTTAATTGGGTTCTTTCGGTAACAAAGAAAAAGCTGAGAATTGCTGGGTTCTTTGCATCGTTACCTTTTCTAACATATCTTTGTAATAAAAGGCAACAGTAATCAATACGCTGTGTTCAATTATAGAGAAAAATAGCACAGATACTACGGGTGTTGCGTAAGCAAAATGATCGCTCTATTGACGGCACGTTTGTTTTTTACTGGGCAGTTTGTTGCCCCATTTATCTGTTTTCTCTTTAGTTTCTCTCTTGTTGGTGTTTGGAAATGTGGTTAAACACTGTCTTCTGTATTTGATGTATTACAATTTTTTTCAAAATGAAACATTTAAAAAATCAATGACAGTCCCAGTAAGGATAATATATAGATTTAGCCAAGCCTAAAAGCGGAGCTCCTGGGCCGGGTTACCATTTTAACTTACATTTAAATGATTTTAAATTGAAAGTGAAAAAATTAAAAACCACAACCGAAATTGTGACGAACTATGCATACCCGTAATTAGGTGGTTATTATGATTGTTGTTATTTTCGTAAGTGCACGTGCACATATGCGGTATTTAAGATGCAGTCTTGTAATTTATGCGTCTTGCGGTCAGTTTCGCAATGTAACGGCTAGCGCTGTTTGTGCGCCATTAAAGACAACATTTTACCG